GGGGGCGGTGAATAGCCTGTATTCCCATCCGGCAAGCATGGTCTGTCTTTCACTTTAAAAGGTCCAGATCCTTCTGGTCATCTGATTCAGGTCAAGCAGGACTTTGCATTGCCATCAGCCCGTGGAACCCACCGGAGCATCTCCCAGTGCCTGCTGCTGCCCCCCCGGGAGGGAGGGAGGAGGGAGGTTCTTTCAATCCCTGGAGGACTGAGAGGTAAAATATCTCCAGCTCAGCTTCTTTTTCTGCTTGCTTTTCCCGCAGGGGTTAACGAAACCATTGAGATTCGTAGAGGTTCATTAAGGCGGATGACGGCATTGATTCCCAGGCCATGCCAGCGGTTTGCCGCTGTGCCCCAAGCACGGTTATCGCACGGCCCCCAACCCCTAAGACCCCAAATGACCGGGATGCTCTGGCCTGGAGAGCAATGCCGCTGACCTGAGGACTGACATGAGGGTGCCCAGGCAGGGAGGGGGGTGGATGGAGGGAGCAGGGGGGCCATGACCAGAGCTGGCCAAAGCACGTGGCAGTGACCCAAGGGCAGGGGTGCTTTGCACCTGCCATGCGCCGCAGCTCTTATCCCCTTCTCTCTCTGCCTGTGCCCTGACTGCAGCCTGGCCCCCATCCCCAGCGGTCCATGGACCACCACCCAGCATGAGCGCCGACGCCGAGCAGCTCCCGGCAGGGGCCCAGGCGGCCGGCGTGCCCCTCTGGCCCGTATCCAGCTGGGCTGCCTCTGAGGTGCCCCCCAACACCAGTGCGGCTGCTGGGGGGGCCGGCCGGCAGCAAGGGCAGGCAGAGTGGGGCGGCAAGACGGGCGAGATCGTGGGCATGGTGGTGATCCAGTGTATCTACGCCCTGGTGTGCCTGCTGGGGCTGCTGGGCAACGCCTTGGTGATCTTCGTTATCCTGCGCTATGCCAAGATGAAGACAGCCACCAACATCTACCTGCTCAACCTGGCCATCGCCGATGAACTCTTCATGCTCAGCATTCCCTTCGTGGCCACATCAGCCGCCCTGCACCACTGGCCTTTCGGCCGGGCCCTGTGCCGCACTGTGCTGGGTGTTGATGGGCTCAACATGTTCACCAGTGTCTTTTGCTTGACCGTCCTCAGCCTGGACCGCTACATTGCGGTGGTGCACCCACTGCGGGCAGCCACCTACCGCCGTCCTCGGGTGGCCAAGATGGTCAATGGGGGTGTGTGGCTCCTCTCCTTGCTGGTGGCTTCGCCCATCCCCATCTTTGCTGGTACAGCAACCACCCGCGATGGCCAAGCAGTGGCCTGCAACCTCCTGTGGCCAAGCCCGGCCTGGTCGGCCGCTTTTGTGGTCTACACCACCTTGCTGGGCTTCCTGCTGCCAGTGCTGGCCATGGGGCTGTGCTACCTGCTGATCGTGGGCAAGATGCGGGCGGTGGCGCAGCGGGTGGGCTGGCAGCAGCGCCGGCGCTCCGAGGGCAAGCTGACGCGCCTGGTGCTGATGGTGGTCGCCATGTTCGTGGTCTGCTGGATGCCATTCTACGTGGTGCAGCTGGTCAACCTCCTTCTGCCCGGCCGCCTGGATGCCACCGTCAACAACGCCTCCCTCATCCTCAGCTACTCCAACAGCTGCGCCAACCCCATCCTCTACGGCTTCCTCTCTGAAAATTTCCGGCACTCCTTCCACGGCGTGCTGCGCCGCTGCCTCGATGCCAGCCTCTGCTGCTGCCAAGCTGGAGAGGGGGCCATGGAGGAGGAGGAAGAGGAGGAAGAGCCCCTCGACTACTGCGCCACTCCTCGGGGGGACGACAAGGGCAAGGGCTGCATGTGCCCACCCCTGCCCTGCCAGCAGGAGCCTGTGCACCCCGAGCCCTGCTGCAAGCCCGGACCCCTCCTCACAAAGACCACCACCTTCTAGGGTGCCCCATGCCTCGCCGGACCCCCAACAGGCATCTCCACCAGGCATGGGCAAAGAGGACCCGGGCCAGAGAGGGGGCAAACTGCCATGCCCCGTGCCACCAGTCCTCACTTGCGCTGTGCAGTTCGACAAAATAAAAAGCCATAAGACAGACTGGCCCGTGATACAGTTAATTACATCGACTGAATAATTATTGCCGTTACCTTCGGCAGCAAGGAGCCTTCGCTGGGATCAGGGACGGTGAGGATTTCAAAATGCGTTAGTGAAGAGTGACGAGCTATGGGGCGGGTGCCCCTCCGGAATAATAAAACACAAACTTCCCGTTCCTTCCCAAGACATGCTCTGAAAGACGGAGAACAGTCCTAAAGCCCATCAGCCCCGCTATGTCTAGAGCAAAGTGAGGGGGTAAGACCGGACCGGACTTCTACATCAGCTCTGCAGGGCATGGAGAGCACAGGATCAACTTGACCCCTTCAGGTTCGTCTTATGTAAAAAAAAAAAAAAAAAAAAGTGGGTTTCTGAACAGCTGAAATCAGAGCTTGAGACTACGTAGACTGAGCCTTTGCAGGTGCCAGGGAGTCGCAAACCTCCCTTCAGCTAACAGGGAAAGGAAAAAACTTAGGTCCCACCAATAACCCCCTCCTTCCCACCCCAAATTCCCGGGAAAAGGGATTGTTGCACACAAGACCAAAACTGTACTTTCCACAAGAAAACCCAGGAGAAACAAATCTCTCTTTGCCACAGGTAAACATCAATGGTACCATAGAAACTTGAGCTGACGAGCAGCACTGGGGCTATACTGGCTTGGCCGCACTGAGGTAGCATTAAATTAGCCATTTCCAGCTTATTTGGTTTTAACTCTGTCCTTTTAATGTTATTCTTGTTCTCCATTATTTATGGCTTATTCCTTCTATTTTAATCACACTGGGGGAATAACTAGCAGGGCAATGGTTTCAGCCTGATGCTCTGCTGAGAGCCCACAGTTCGGGTTTTTTTTGTGCTCCGGGGCGGTTTGTGACTTCTGGAGCTCTGGCTGCGAGGCGGGCCGGTGCTCAGTGAGGAAAAACAGTCGTTTTAGGGAGGGGGAGAAAGAATATTTCATTAGCAGCTTTCTATAAACCAGACTGTAAAAGCTTTATTGGTCTACACACAAAATCACCATGTGATTGTGCATTGCGTAGGGTATATTTCCAATAAATAAATAAGTATTTACAAATGTGCCGGGTGTATAAAACAGCGGGTTGAACCATTTACATTCGGAAAGCTACAGTTCGTACAAGGCATATCTTTTTATTTTCTTTGGAGGCTGCAATGTAGCTCTATCATATTGGGAGGGGGAAACGCCGCGGGACAGCAAGCTCACTTAGCACGTAAGGGGGGGGATGCGGGGGGACACAACCACCCCGTGTTCTGCAGCCCCTCTGTGGCGTCCAGCCCTCCCCAGCTCTGACCCCAGGCTCGCAAAACTTCCTGCGGGAAAGCCAAGCGCTGCTGCAGGCTGATATTTCACGGGCATAAAGCTGTCAGCACCCGCTCCGCCACTCGCCCCGTGCCCGCACCAACAGCCACTGGTTTCACCCCACCGCGGCTGCAGGAGCAGGACCCCCCCTTTCCTCCCCCTCCAGCCCCACCAGCTCTGCCCGGCAGCAGGGTGGCGTTGCAAAGCTGCCCCTTGTCTCCCCGCCAAACGACGGAGCTGGAAAAAGGCATAAAATAGTTTTTCAGATTTCCCCCTCAGCCCACGGCTGAGAAGCAAGCGGTGGGCCGGATCCCGCCCCAAGTTTTGCCGCGAGCTTCAACACGGATTAGACTCAGCCCCAGACAAGACTGAAGGAAAAACAGGAAAAAAACTCTGTGGACAAGAAGGGGTTGGTTAAGCAGGTTTGTAAAAAAAAAAGAAAAGAAAACACAAAACCCCAAATAGTTTAACCCAACAGCGGCAGAGAATCATGGAAGAAATTGCGTGGGGAACATGAGGCTCCCCGGCACTACAAACGACCTTTCCTACCACGGAAAAAATTACCCCGGTAGTCTCAGTATCCCCATTTAACCTCTGCGCCCCCGAAAAAAAAAAAGCCCTGAAAGGGTAAGAGGGTATAGAAATCAGGCATTTTAGCCCTCACACGATGACACTCAGCACTGTCACAAGCGATTTAAGATGAAAAGTGCTCAGCTGCCAGAGATGAGAGGCAAAAGATGGTGGGGGGGGGGTTGGGTGGGGAGAACAAAAACTGAGATTTCTGCCGATGAGGCAGACAGGGGCAGAGAAGCAAGGCAAAGAGCTGACCACAAGATCTTTGCTCCTTCTTCCATCACCCATCAGTTTTAAAAAACTAAACAGAACCCAAACAAAGACGGGACCATCCCAGCTCCTCGCCACACCAGGAAAGCTGTCATCTCCAGCCTGGCAGCACGCTTCCCAGCAGGGGAGAGGGGAAATCTTCCACAGTCCGTGACAACTCGGCTGGCCATGGCACGCGTGCTTGCACCTCTCGTGAATTTAAACAGTCAGTTCCATACAGAGACATCCCTCCTGTAACACACTCACACGGTTTTTCCTTGAAGCCCCCCCAGCTGTTGGCTTGGGAAAAGGAAAGCCGAACGCCCTCCGCTGCCTGCGAAGGGAGCAGAAACGGAGAAGTGCTCTGTGCCTTCCACCTTCCCCGCTCTCTGGTGCAAGCACTGCAAGAGCCAGCTGGAAAGAAGTGAGTATTTTTGGAATTGGGGGTGATCACAGCTCTTCCTGAGTTCTCTTTATCATTAAAAAATTGGTGGCAGAGGGAGGAAGTAAATGTTACCCAGTTCCATCCACCTCCCTCTCTCCGTCCATCCCCACCTCCCTACAGTTTCTGGCCGGAGGTGGCACACCCCGAGGCGACCGGCTGAAGTCCCATCTCCTTTTCATGGGGGCTGCTGCACTTGTAATCCATGCTGGCGGGCGACTTGCAGCGCTTCTTTGCCAGGTGGTACCCCAGGGCCAGCAGGGCCAGGGCCGCAGAGAGGACGCCCACGGTGATGCCCACCAGTGCGCCAGGGTGGAGGTGCTCTGCCTTCGGCGGGGTCCGGCTGGGGATGGGAGTCTGGGGTCCTGGCCCGAAATCCCCCGAGTACGCTCCCTCCCCATCCTCCTCCGGGATTTTGACACAGTGGTTCTTGTCGAGGAGCTGGTAGCCCGCATGGCAGTGGCACTCGTAGCCACCGGGGTGGTTGGTGCAGTTGTGCTGGCAGAAGTTCATGTCGCACTCGTCGATGTCCACACAGACCTGCCTGCCATCGGCATCATCATCCAGCAAGAAGCCCTCAGGGCACTCGCAGGACAGGCTGTGCGGGTCGCACTCGGCCGGGCACTGGCTGCGGTTGCAGTGCAGCACACAGCGGGCAGGCGCCTGCGGGTTGACGGCATAGCCAGGGAAGCATCCGCAGCGGTACCCGTCGGGTA